CTGGGGCCGGCAGCCAAGGGAAGGCCCCACGGCCATGCACGGAGCAGCGCTGCCTGAACAGGCAGAGCTCTGCAGCAGGCCGAGATACTTGGAGCCTCCGAGCATCAAAGTTCTGAATTGAAATACGTGTTTTAACTGGATCTGGTTTCTACCGGCAGCCTGCTCTTTGTCTCGAGCTTTAAATAGCTCGCCTGCTTTCTGTAACGTCCAGCACACTTCCACAACGGAGCTGGAAGGCTGAGCATTGTGTTTCCCGGCTCTCTTCTCTCTGGTGGGAAAAGGCTTTGCTGGCTGAGCCTTTTATTGTAGTTCATCCTATTAAATCGCCTTCCTTTGTTGTTCTCTGAACCCTCTGTAATGCCTATGCACTTTTCAGCAGGTTTAGTGAAAAGCAGAACTTCACACTGTATCTCTAAAGAGCTCTGACCTCAGCCACCTCCACAGATGAACAACGGCAAGTTAAAAGATTTCAGCATTCCTTCACTGCCTCAATCGTATGGACAAGTTGTTATCCCTCCTGCCTACACTGCTTATCAGAAAAATAAAATACAGCCACTTTCCCATGAGAAGTTGTCAAACCTCTGAGGCGAAAGTTAGGAATTATACCTCAAGCAACGTTTGCAATAGGATATATTAAAAAAGTAAAAGATGAGGAAAAAAATAGTAAAATGTAGTAAAAGAGTAACATGCAGAATATATTGAATTTCTAAAATAAAGAGGGAAAAAAGAGTTAATACTTCTTTTAATGTTTTGTGGGCAGCTTTGAAATACTATCTCTGTACCAACATGAAGGATTTGTTCAAAACATGCATTGATCAGATAGTCCTATAGGGAAGAGAGAAACTACACACCCAGCTACAAGCAATTTCTTATCTTGCACTTAAACCAGCAGTAAAAGTGGGAGTTGCAATGAAAATACAAACAGCTAAAGGAGACTGATGTTTGGGAAACAGCTTATTTTCTTGCAACAAAAATCTGAATGGCCAACAGATTAGAAGAAATCGTTAGACCATAGTTGTGTCTTCACTGAAAGCAAGAGAGATAATAATACAGCCTTTAAGCGAGCTGTTTTTTTATAACAGTCCTTTCAGAAAGGGTTTTCCAGTCAAGATATTGTTCATTCTTCCAACTACGAAGATAAAGTTGTAGGTATTACTAAAAATATGTCTGGTTTCCCACCTTATGCTAACAGTGATACAACAGCAGCCATACAACAAAGCACAAGGAGATACTGCAGTGGGCAATAAATGACCCACATTGAAATTGTCTGCCAGGTCATTCAGCGAAAATGATCATCGCACATTTTCTTTAACCACATGCATTCTGTTTCCATTGCGTATATCACTAACGTACCTCACCTTCACATTACATAACCGTAGGTGCTTGACAAGGATGCAAACTTCTGTGGGAGAGTATTCCAGCAGTTTATGGCAGTGTCCTGCTAAATCAAGAAGTCTGGGTTAACACAAAGCATATGCGCTTAAGGGAGCAAAACAACATTTAGCAGATAGCTCAGACTGGCACCAGAAAGTTTCAGCTGTCAGCACTGATTCAAACCGAAGATTTTTCCCAGGTAGAGACTGTTTTCATTGATGATATCACAGAGCCTAGCAGATAATTTTAGCTCCGTATTCCCCCTTAGCCCACAGTTTCCAGATGTTCATTAGTTATAGAAAGTCATGCTGAATTGTGAGCCTGCTTTTAGCAGAGAAGAGTGATTATGAATAAGCATTGCAAAAGCTACATACACACGTAAATATTTAATCTGGCATTAACTGTGTTTCTCTGATGAGCCATTTAAATGTATCCTTGTTGTACTACCCATTTAAAGATGGATCTCCTCAAAGTGATCATTCAGTTAAGCTCAAAAAAAAAAAAAAAAAAAAAAAATTGGCCTTTGTGCAGGTTTCCATTATGTGAGTGCTAACCAGGCTTGGCAAGAGGTCCACAGAGGGCTGACAGAGCTTTGTCTGCTTTGCTTTATTAGGACTTTTCCAAGCCCACAGAATTCCTGGGTGTGGTTGATGTGATTTCCTGCTTTTTTGTACTGTGAAGGTAACAGGGGCACTTCTGAGAACAAGAAAATAGTTCCTGTTTAACTCAGGGACAAGATTTTTTGGTGGAGTGAGATCTGGCTATGCAGAGCTTTGTTTGGCGAGTTCTGTTTGGAAAACGCTGCTTTTGACACATCTCTCGGAATCTGTAGGTGAGTAGCAGACACAGGAATGTGCTACCTTCTTCCTGCCTGGGAGAGGATCCTTGACATGAAAATTCTCCTCAGTGGATGCTCTAATACTACACTGATCATGTGCCCAATTTTCCCTCAAAATATATTTTCTGTTAATATCTTGATTAATCTTAGATGTTTGAGTTTTAGGTCTTTCTAGACACTTCTTTTCTCAGCATGAAGCTTGTACTAGAACAAGTTAGCTGTACCACAGATTCTTACACCAACCTCATCTTTGCAAGGTGAATTTAATAACTAGTAATTATTATGGAAACAGAATTTTAGAAAATCCCATGTATAAAGTAACAATTATTACTCAGAGTAGTAATTAAAGGAAAATATCTTGACCCTATGCAATTCTTGCAAATTGCATAAAACAAATAATGTTCTGTCAGAATAAGTTACACCATCGAGAACAAACAAGCTCTTTCCATCTGTAAATGAAAATATGGGATTAGAACAGTTTGTGAAAGCACATTACAGGAACTGAATTTAGATGGGCTTTGTTTCTGAAATCCTTGAAGGTTCAGTTGGAGTTGGATTTAATTTTCCAAGAAATATAACAGGAATTATTAAAATACTGTAAATGTTTTCCTGGGAAAATTCATAACCCCATAAACAAGCCCGTTCTTGTGGGAATTTCCAGCACTTCATAGCTGAGTAGGTTACATAGCTTTGTTCTGCATTTTTGGATGCTTTGTCAATCTGACCCTTCGTATACAAAATGCAATCAGTATTAAGATCTTCCAGGCCAAATTAGAAATCAGGCAATATTACAGTTAGGCAATCCCTGCCTTGCTCTTAGCTCAAAGAGTAAAAGAAGGATAGATAATAGTATCCTTCCATTTTTACTTCCCATCGTTTTGGTCCTGTCTGCCAGCCCTTTAGTGCAGAGCTACACAGAGGTCCTACACAGGCATACATAGATGAGAAGAGCAGAGAATTTATGATCATTTTCCATCCCTGTTCTTTTCCTTACCCTGGAAGAAGGGCTAGGAACACGAATATTAATCAAAGGGTCAGGTTTCTCCTGAGAACACAGGCTACTTTATTTCACTGAGATGTTTGGCATAATGCACATTTTCAGCTCTCAGAGAGTTTCCTCTGCCATTTTGTCACTTGGCCAACAAAAGGACAAAGCTGACTGCCCTTTCAGTGCCTGCTCAAGGCACTCTGGAGCCCAGAACAGTGCTTTCTGCATTGCACATTTCAGAACTGATCACGGCACAACTGGCCTAGCCTGCTGATTTGTCGTGATGGGTGTCTGTAGCTAGGGAGCCTTTTCCTATAAGAAGTGTCAAGAGATACAAACGGCCTTTCTTTCCTTAACTCTTATTGTTATTTTATTACAGTTATTGTTCTCTGTGCGAGTTTTTTCTCTACATGCACAGACGTGGCCCGCCTATGAAGGAAATGGATTTCAGTCATCTTGATCAGGAGTGTAGGAAACGCTTCCCATGGCTCAGTGCCACGCACTGCCGTTTGTGTTTCTTTTATTGCATGAATTACGTAAGGCTCTGAGCTCCCGAGCAAAACAGGGCTACCATCACGCAGCCGCTTTCGTGGGATGAAGCAGTCATTTCCCCCAAAGGCCTGCAATGCTATTAGAGAGGACAGATAAGAGGACACGAAAACAAAGGGAAAGAGAATGGAAGTGACTCACCTGTGGGCTATCAGCTACCAGTACACAGAGGATGGTGGTGGGAGTCACAATGGCCTGTGACACAGCAGTGCTGCAGCATTGCTCATCCCTCGCCACAGGGTGTCAACCCGGTGGGGGAAAAATTACCTGGATGCCCTTAAGGCAGAAGAGCCCCAGTCCTTTAGAGAAAAACCTTCTTACCAAGCCAGATGAGAGTTCAAATAAAAACCAGAAGCCACATTCCCTTACAGAACCTATACTTACTGGTAGCTTACTGTTGAGGGCTTTACTTGGACTTCTATGATTTTTATACTTCTGGTGCTCTGTGTAGATGCGGCTTTATCCCTGAGATCAGGCAGTGCTTTTCCCCATAACTGTCAGCACCCTGCATAAGCTGTCACTGCCCAAGTGCGGGCCTGACACAAGAAAGACTTTATCTGGTGCACAAATACAGATTTGGCATTTTTTTCCAGCTCTGTTCAGGTCACTAATGAAAAGCCTAGGAAGTGAGCACACATGAAATCATTCCTTCCGTACAGGCAGACAGATGGAGAGAAATTCCAGCCTGTTTCCACTCTTTTGTCTTCAGGGCATTTTTGGAATTTCCTTCAGGAAGTGAGGTTGCGACCCAAAGCCTTCCTTACTGAGCAGGCTGCAGTTTCCCACAGTACAGCTTACACAGTGATGACATACACTATGAGAAGGTGAGCTTTATCTTCACACTCCAACTGCATCCTGTACAAGTGCCGTGAAACTTAAAAGCAAGACTGAGCAGGAATGGCAGCAAGAGAGGAAATGGAAGTCAGGCCTTGGGAAGAAGTCATGCAGCATGTATTCAAGCACACTGTCACAGCATGTGCTGCTGCACCAGGTGGAGCTCCAACTGGTCTGCTTCTTATGTATTTCCTGATATTGCAATAAGTTAAGAATTAAGGTTATGAATGGTATAAGTGATTTAAGCTAATAATTTCACTTATTCTACTCCAGGTGGTCATGGCAACATTGGCAGGCATCTATTTTTTTTTCTGCTCGTATTCCACTAGCAGTTGGAAAAAAAGAAAAAAACATTTGTAGGCATGTTACTGTAAAGATTCTTCTAATGGCATTTCATTGATACAGTGCACACCCACGAAAGATCACAGTATAGAATTCATTTTTTATCTTACATGACCTTGCCAGTGGCAGCATGCATCTTAGGTCTCCACCAACCAGAAAGACATCCACAAAAATAGCTTAATCCAGATCATACTGAAATCAAGGAGTCATTTCCGTGAGTTCTGTCAACAACTTCCATCAACATTACCACACCCGGAGCAAAATCCCCACAGCAGTACCAAAGTACCAGTACTGTGATAACAGAATCTTTACAAAAATCAGTTTATTAATGTTTAGAAGTCAATAAAGCTATGTGCAAATTGAACAACAGAAGTCAGAAACATATTAAATACTATTTTTTAAACCAGAAAAAAAAAAAAAATCAATTTAATTGCACTGGAAATTTTACTACAAAAGCAATAATTTTTATTTATTTATTTTACAAAATACCACTTCTAGGAGTTGTCCGTAACTGTAAATCAGTCAGTTGCTTTCAGCTATCCCAGATATACCACTTTTGTTATAGTAATACTCTAGGTGCGTGAAGACTCCTGTATCTCATTAACTTATTTACATTGTACACATTCAACCCCATTAGCACAGGTTAGAAAACCAGAGAAGTAAAAACGATACTGTAAAACAAATACATTCATTTTAACGACAGGCACTTCTCCCAAGAAGCCACGAACTGATAAAATACAAACAGATTTCCTGCAATTATGAACATTAATAAAATGTGCCAAAATGTGTTGCATTTTGTTATGGAAGTGCATTTATCTATATTCATTTCACTTGAAATCTTACTTTTCTGAAACTCGAGGCTTTCTTTTCAGGCGATGTAACCAGTCTTTACCTTTTGCCTTTGTCACCTGACACTAACCTTTGCCTTCAGTTTTTAGCTCTTTTTACCTCAGTAAAAATCCTGCTGCTGTCAACAGTATTTTATTCTATTAGATTTACTCTCTGTCATCTTTATGAGAAGTGACCTTTAGTTCTACCTCACATTTTGTCACGATAATGCAGTTTATTTAATGCTATATAACAACACGGCAAACAACACGTGGGGCCAAATGCTGCTCTGAGCGATTCCATGAAATCTGACACAGCCATGGAATTGTTTAAGTGAGTGTAACTACAGAGCCTGCTCTTGGTCTTCAAATGCAATAGGACCACCAACAAAAATTCACAGCTATGATCTTGCTAAATAAAACTCCAACAGCTTTGGACTCTGCAAATAAAACCTTACTATTTAACTAAAAACTCTGGAAGGTGATGTCAAATTATGGTTGCCTGTGGTATAAATTATACCTGCATGATCTCTTTCCTTGTTATGTGTTAAACAAACACTTCTGACCAACTATACGAGCCATCACTAAACCCAGTACAGAAAGAGCTTTGTGTCAGTGGTTTGCTGCAAGTAAAGGAAAAATAACTTCACATTCTTCTCACAGGGGAGGGAAAAAAAGAAAAAAAAAAAAAAGATTCATTCTCCCTTTGCCTCTTCCCCGACTTTCATTCTCTTGCACACACCAGGCATCACTTCCCCAAGGCATCAGTCTTTCAGAGTTACTAAGGAGATCTCAGGATATGAATGCGCCTGACAATCCTGAGCTGCCTCAGTGCAAAGACAAAACATGCTCCGGGGAAATGGATTTTTGAGCCAGAACAGCGTGTCCCATTTCTTGAACTCCAGCCTCGCAAGTGCACCATTGGCCTCGTTAGAACTAATGCTACTTGCTCCTCAGCCCAGCACTGCTGCAGCGAGCAGGAGGTGCCTCGGCTCCCAGTTTCAGAGAAAGGCTCTAAACAAACCTCCACAGTCACTCCTAAGAAGATGAGGTAACATTGCCTGAAGACATGATGGTTTCAGGACGGTCGCCTTCCTCCTTCTGTGGGTGGGAGGAATTGTCAGACTTACTCCGGCTGAACTCCATCCCTCCGATGATTGGCCTCTTGAATTTAGTCCCCGAGTCTGTGGGGGGACATTTGCAGCAGCACAGAATCTTGATGAAAGCCCTCCGCATTTCTTTGTTAGTTAATGTGTAGATGATAGGGTTCGTGGCTGAATTGAGCACGGCCAGCACTAAGAAATACTCTGCTTTATACAGGATTGGGCAAGTCTTCACTCTACAGCCCACATCCAGTAAAAGCAGGATGAACAAGGGAGCCCAGCAAGCAATGAAGGCACTCAGGACTATGATCACTGTCTTGAGCAAGGCTAGTGACTTTTCTGAGCTCCTGGTAGCTTTGGTAATGTTTTTTCGAAATGTCAGCCTACGGCTCCTAGTCCTCACCATGGAGTAGATTCTGCAATAGAGGACAACAATAGATAGCAATAGGCCAGTGAAAACTGTGGTGCAAAAGAGAATATAGTGCTTGTGGTAGAGCGGCAGCACTGTGGAGCAGTTTGACAAGAGGCTGATGCAGTTCCAGCCCATGATTGGGAGTCCTCCAAGTATCACAGAGATAACCCAGCAGGCACTGATCAGCAGGAAAGAACGGAAGCTGTTGCTGCCATTGTGGAGCTTCATTTTCAGCATGGTGATGTATCTCTCAATGGCGATGGCCAACAAGCTGAACACAGAAGCTGACAAGGCGACAAACATGCTGCCCTCCCTTACGAACCACTGGGAAGGGGTGAGGCTGTAAGTTTTGTGTCCGGAGAGTAGGAGGTTGGCAGTGTAAGCCACGCCAGCCAGCAAGTCTGAAAGAGCCAGGTTCCCAATGAAATAGTACATCGGTCTGTGAAATTTCTTGGTTTTCCAGATGGTGAGCAAGACAAAAATGTTCTCTAAGATTATAAAGCAGCAAATGATGATAAAAACCACCGACGTCATTTTTATTCCACTGTCCGCATTCTCATTTAGCTTTCCCGTGTAATTATAGTGCTCTTTGATGACATAGTTGACGTCGGTGTTGGCGAGGCTGCTGACCACCCTCACTGGGGCGGTGGTGCCGGAGCTCATGGTGCCAATAGACAGAGAGCACAAACCCGTGGTGGCCTCGCAGCTCCCAGCACTCCTGCACACGCTCACAAGTAGCAGTCCTGAGAACAAGAGGAAAAGCCCATGTTAGGGGATGGCAAAAAAACATGTAACAAACTAGAAACGGTCCAAGATGATCTGCTGATTTGATTGTTCGTCAGAATCACAAGTGCAATCACAGAAAAGGCAGTTTTATTCATCTGCTACGATATGCTTAAAAGATAGTTAGGCATATTAAATAGCTAAAGCCAGTAAGACAACTCTACCTGCACAGGTAAAGCTGGAGTCAGCAGAGACCGCACTGCTGGACTTCTTCCAGCGTGAAAGACCTGAAAGCTGTCCAGCAGCAGGTTCCAGCCTAACTTACCCTTCAGCAGCAAACAGTGCGCACACAACAGCAGAGATTTAGAAAGGGAAATGGGTTTGACTTGCTTTAACTGCAGACGCACAGAAGCCTACAAAGAAATTACTCGACAGGAGAGCTCGATTCGCCTCTGTTCTGAAAGTCTGAACACGTTTCGGGAGGGGCCGGGAAACAATTTACTGTGCTGAAGGTAATTCAGCCATGTGCAAGAGAGCATCCAGAGCTGTAAACAGGAGAGGTGCCCCAGCCGAGCAGCAGGGGCGTGCGTTAGGGAGCTGGGAGAAGTTGAGAGAAACGAGACAAGTAAATAGCCCGCACAGCAACCTGTTGTGTGGGTCTGACACAAAGGAAAGGAAAAAAGAACTTTGTGTTGCAAATAATTAGCATCCTATGCTTTGAAAATGAATACGATTAAGGAATGCAGATGTAGAGGGAACTCCCTTTACGTACAGGCGCTTTCTAGTAGACACTTAAAAGGAATTTAAGGTGCGAAACCAGGCAGAAGAAGAGCGTTCAGAGCCATCAAATTACAGCCTATGCGGAGCAAAGCCGGAGGGGCGAATCCGGCGGCACAGCTCCGCGCTCGGCTGCCGCCCCGCTCCCAGCTCCCGCCCGCCGCAGCCCCGCGGCACGGCCGCCCGAATCCCCCCTTCCCGCTCCGCCGCCCCGGGCCGTACCTCGCTCAGCCGCGCCGCGCCGCCCGCATGCAGCCTCCGCATCGTGAGTGCCGTTCAGCGACTCCAGCGGCCGGCCGGGGCTCGGCAGTTTTAATGTTCCTGCGACGGAATGCTCCCCAGCCTCCTTCTTTAACCCCTCCCCGCGTGACCTGCACGCCTTTATAGAGCCCGCGGCTGTGGGCGAGAGAAGGGCCGACGAGACAGGCCCAAGAGAGGCGGGACCGGCGGAGCCGCCGCTCAGTCCCATCCCATTCCGTCCCGTGGGACGTTTGCCCTCGCTGCCCGGGGAGGCGGCGTCGCGGTCCCGCTCCCGCCCTGCCCTGTGCTGTGCTGCCGTGCCGCCGCCTGCCCCGCTCCGCAGCCGGAGTGGCTCAGCACGGAGCGGCGGCACAGAGGACGCGCCTCGTGCCCCGGCCCGGCGCCTGACGGACGCTCGAACAACGTTTAAGAAAAGCGCTGATGGTGTTTTCTCAGTTTTCTCACCTGGCCGAGCTCGGGGCTAAAATGGGTACGTGCCAGGCCTGGCAAGCGTGGCGCGGCACCGGCGCCCTTTGCGCCCTGGGGAACCTGGCTGCAGCGGCACAGCCACACAGAACGGGGCTCTGCGCCGACTGAAGCCGGCACTCGCCCCCCTGAGTGAGGGCTCATTTAATGTCCCTTGCCACCACAAACACCACTATTGATTGGGCTTTCAACATAAAAAAACATCTCTGAATGTTCAGAGGATTCAAAAGGTTTTTGTAAAGAGAAATAAGTTTCAATTTTTATTTTTTTTTTTAACAGCAGTAGTGGTGCCATTATACAAAGACTGAGAAAGAAGTGAGTTCAGATTTTGTAACTCCTCCAAAAACACCCACCTCAGTGTATGTGACTTTTGGTTACCTTGAGTTGCTCTTAGTGCAGAAATTTCCCTCCTTTCTTACTTTGTTCTTTTTAACTCCAAATTGAAATGCAAAATAATATCACAATGGATCAGAGCACAGCGTGTCAGGTCTCTTAGTCCATGGCACCAAACATCTCAGTGAGCAGCAGCAGTCATTACAGGGAAGCAGCTCTCCTCTGAAAGAGGCAAGGGCAGTGCTGCCCTGGGAAGAGTCCCCCTCTTCTCACATTTATGCGAATCCTCATGCTTCAGTTGCTCCACGCCTCTCCCAGAATGACTCAATAAATTACACTGGCAAACAGACGTCAACTCTCCACCACCAAGCTAGAAACTTGAAAAGATGTTCAGCCTCCTGAGAGCCTGGAGGAAAGTACAGCCGTTAAATTACAACTGTCAGAAAAGGCATGCAAGATAAATCATGCTCGAGGTTGACATATGCATCCCCTGCAACTGCCTGACATACCCTAGATACTGCAAGCTTTCCCCCTTACTTAGCTAATCTATAGAAAATACTAAATAAAAGCACATATTTGTTAGGCATTCTCCTCTAGGAAATTTTTCTCCCATAATTTTAAGCAAGAGGGACATAATAAAGGAACACGCTTTAATTAAAGGACAGAGTGACTCAGGGTTTCAACAGCCAGATGTACAAGCTTTCATGTTTGAGTTATTGGTAAAGCAGCTGAGAGGGCTGCAGCCCAAAGAAGTGATGTCCAACAAATTATTTATCAGAGGTTGTGTGAAATGGCTCAGCAATTTCAGTTTGACTCTGAACAGCTGAGCATCTGTATTACAAAAAGCACTGTTAAAATTAGATCATCACACACATCTGTAGCCATGTTGACACTTAGCAGTAAGGATGCTGAAATAGCACTTTGTCCTTTCCAGGCAAAAGCAGTCAAAGCAGATTTTGCTCTGAGGGCTGTGTAAAACCTCAGTTCATGCAGGTCCATGAGGTTCAGATGCACAGATTTTAGCCTCCTCACATGGACTGCATCACACAAACAGGTAAATTCCAGCTGTTCCAGCCAACTCTGACAAAAGCAAACTGATAGATGTTCATTGAGGAGATTCATGCCAGCATTATACTTCATCCCCATCAACAGAGCAGGAATTCTTGTCTCAATACCTTCCATCTGCCAAATCCAACGTGAAGGAAGCTTGCACTTCCACAAAATACATAAAAGAAATCCAGGGTATATAACACCTTTGAAAACTGAGATTGTCTACAGTCAGAGAAAAAGAGATGGGACAACATGATAAATATATACGCTGTTATACTCAAGTTTCTTTAATGAACAAAAAGTCTTGTTTTACATACTTACTGGCTGCCTGCGATAAACAGTGTTCTTGTGAAACTACAGGAACTCAGTGCAGTGGGCACTCCAGAATCCTGGCTATTTCACAGGGCAGTGGTGATAGGATAACCCCAAGCAATCTCCATACGTTTAGTTTCAGTGTCTTAACCCAAATCACACAACAATCTGATGCAAGTCAAACTGATCATTTTATGACAATGAAACCAAAGAAAGCTGTGCGTGCACATCTGACAGACTAATCTGTCCCAAGAAAAGGCACTGATATGATCCTTCACAAATTACACAATTTGTGGTGGAAGACTGTGCTGATGGCTGTCAACACCTACTCATCCCACCGGATGGGGAGCAACATGGGGAATTTCAGAGTACTTTACAGTGATCATTTAAAAAGAAATATAAAGTAAAGAGCCTGAAAATAAAAACAAACTTATCAATGAAATAATCTCCAGCATTATCCCTGGTAACTGTTAATTGAGGAAAAGGAAGCAATGCCGTCTTGCAGAAAAATGCAATATGGGCTATTCCCAAAGCCTGTATCAGCAGCCTCTGACACCAGAAGATAGCACTCTCACAGTGCTGGCACCACAGGACGACTCACAATTGCAACAGATGAGTGTCTGAGCATCACCCACCCTGAAAAGAGACAAGAAATCCCCACAAGACAGATTTCCAAAGGATTATTCCCCAACACAACACCCTTATGCACCTTTGAAAATCTTTATGCAGAAATTCCTTTTATTCATCCTGACATAGCTTAGACCACAAAACAGAGGCATTCCTCTATGGTGTGCCAGAACAGAGATTCTCAGAATGGAACAGTTTTGCTCACTAAGGAAATACAAAGAGTGGGCAGCAGAATCCCCTAAGTTCCCCTGACTAGAGGAAATGCAAGAAACAACATACAAAGTAAGGCATTACTTCAGATCCAGAGTTTTGATGCAGAGCTGGATCAAACATACTCTATTTTGGATACATTTGTAAACATTTACATCATACAACTGAGAATGCTATTCTTACTACATGGCCTATCACCTGCACACTGAAATTATGATTCCTACAGAAATATCATAACTGAATTATTAATCTGAATAATGTGGCATAAATTTAGTAGAGAGTACGAAAGCAAGGCCATCTTCGTGCCATCTCTGATACCGTGAAGCAAGCTTGGTTAGAATCACCTCAAATATAACATTACACAACTGTTTCTTAAGCAGTGCAGACAATCTTCTGAATTACGATATCTCTATGCTACTTTCAGCTCTGTAAGTTTTATCTCAAAGCCAGGTAACTTCTCAGAACTAAGAGATAAAACACCGGTGACGATACTCACATAAGCTGCAGGTAGAAATGACAAGTACTAATTTTCATAAGGACAAAAGTACCTACTTGCTCCAATTTCTGTTAGTCACCCAAACAGTTACAAATGTTCTGCACATTGTAGCCTGCTCCCATCTGTATCTTGAAGTAACTAATATATCACAAAATCTGTCAGAGAAAAAAAGCACAACTAACTTGCTCCAAGGGTTAAAATAACACCTTAAATTATGCACATGCAGGTAAAGCAACTTAATTATAATATTTTGATATAGCTTAACCCACACTGGAAGAACATGCCAAACAGCTTTGAGAAAATAGACAAAACACTAAGTAAGCATATTTGTATCTACAAGAAAGCAACAAAAAACGGAATACAAAACGGTTTCATTAGATGGTTGACAGGATAATTAACACAAGTTATTATTACTAATTTTTGATTGTTAATTGGTGTTGACTAGATACTTTGAGTATCCAATACTTTATCCTCCAGTTTAAAATGAATTAAAGTTTAAGTTCACCACTTATGAAGTTTGAAACAATCCGTTTTTACGTTATGCTTTCCACACAAGCTAACAGATCAATTTGCTTTCTGTTGATATTCACGATCAAAAATTCCACATCTTCTTCACTCAGATTAAAATCGAAAACCTGGGTTTGGAAACAAGCAAACAACAAAAAAAAGCAGACAATGAGAACACTACAAAACAAGAAGCATATATGTGTTAAGTAATAGCATTCCATAATTTTAAAAGCTTGTTTTTAAAGCACTTACCAATATTTTTAAAAGTTTGACAAATTCATTCGTGAGAATTTGTATTTTACTTCCAGATCATTAGATAAAGCTTAATCCCAAGCAAAAAGACTTGAAGTCTTTGGTTATCATTGCACTTAAAGATTACTTTATCACTCCACTATTACCACAAAATCCCAAGACACTAATGTATCTAACACGATACATATTTTTTCATATGTATTAAAATGTAGCTGGAGTGACAGTAATACAACTTTATACTGCAGCATTTTAAAAAATTCTGCAATTTACTTTTTTATTCCAGTAAACAGATCAATCAAGTAAAATCCTGCTATATACTTTTTTGCTGGGATAAACTAAAGATTTAATGGTCATAATAATGCAACTTAACATGCTATTGTGAAGGAACAGATGTTCTGGCTGAAAAATATGCAGTTATTGGGCAGATTTCAAAAATTACTGATTGGTAATAGTGGAGAATAGCAGAAAAACAAAACCAAACCACTCATGATAATTTTCCAAATTATTCAATGGAACTTGCCCCTGGATAATACAGTGTTAATGATGATCATGCAAAAATCTCAAAAACTTGATATAAAAAGAATAGATACTTGATGTTTCCTTAATATACACATATTATACAAATATAACACAAAAATGTCTTTCTTATTTGATCATCAAGAAAGTCAATTTATACAGTGGATGTATGACCCTCACAGTTAAAGTATTTTTCCAACTTCACATGGCACCCAAAGCCAGTGATTTACCACAAAGTCATCTTGGCAGCAGCATCCTACAGGTACTCAATGGGACTTGTCCAGCAGAACCATTTGGGAAGAATGAGTTTGTAGAGTAAACAAAACCAAAACAAAACAACAATCCTGGCTCTTTTTGTTATCAGGAAATAGAATAAATGTAACATTCCCCAGTCCCCCTCCCAGTTTCACAGACAAGATAGGAACTTCACAGCAAATCATTATACCAGGATTCTGAAATCTCATATAAAAAGTTCTGGAAATATATTTTGCTGCAGAAAAATAAAATAGAGCAATCATTAATAGGACGATATCCCTACTAATTTGCTCTTGAATTTCTTACTGTATTTCAAACTAGAGAGTGTTTCTCAAAGGGCTCTGGTACACAAAGCCCACACAGAGATCACAGAAGATGAATCCTGGGTATTATGTGCTGAGATGGCACAAACGAGTCTGTGCAAGGTTGCTTAGAGAAGTACATCCCACATCATGTTGTCCAGGTCTAGCATGAGTTAGCAATGACAACAGACCACAGAAAACAGTATCAGAATCATTGATTTAAATTCATGTAAGGCTTTGCACTTCTCCTTTTTCAGGGGGTAGGCCCTTACAGAAAGTTACTACTATCCTCTAATGTCCTGGCATTTGTAATTAGTCCTGTGATGCTGTAGACAAATAAGCATTGATTAAGGACGAAGACTGCATCAACTATAGCAGAAGCACGGCACAGGCTCACTTTGAGGCAGTGCAAATACTTGACGTCTCCTTTCAGAAGCACAGGCGTCTTGTTGGAGGCTGCAAAAAGTGCCAAAAAGCAAATATAAAAAAAGATTCCCAACACAGCAAGGTTGGCTTTTCTGTTACTTAAAGCGAACTCTCTGTAGTCAGAAATGTGTTCCTCTGAGCTCCAAAGCTTTGGCAACAACGTGGCAATGTGGAGAGCTTTAACTGTTCAAATTCAGTTAGTATCAGTAAGAGCTACTCCACTTTCGTCCCTTTTAATCTTGTAAGGTTAACATCAGCTTTCCTCTCAGCGTCCTATTGCTATTTTATCAAGAAAATCAGCCGGTGTCAAACACAGCACAAAAAGAGGTGCAGATACTAATGCAACCTACTTGGCTTAGTGGCTCTGTGAGCTTACCAGTGTTGCTGTTTCTTTACTGCACGTGCTAATCGAAAGAATAATATATTCTGGGGGGACAAGTACAGTAGAAACACTTCTGCACCCCAATAAAGATAAAATCCTGAATCACACACTTTACAAAACCATCATTTTCCAATTTAATATTGCGAGGTGCCTTAATAATCAGAGACATAAAAGATGAAATTCAGAAACAGGCTAGAAAATGAGAGATGGAGCCACTGAGAGCCAGACCAAAGCTACTTGGCTGCACACAAAATGGCCTCGCCCTTCCACCAACTTCCTGTTTATTTTTTTCCTTTCCTTGTTTGTTTAAAAGAGTTCCCTTCTGTTGCAGTTTAACCCAGCAGGCAGCTCAGCACCATCAGCCCATTCACTCACTGCCCAGCCATGGGATGGGAGAAAAGGTAAAACTCACGAGTGGGGATAAAGACAGCTTGATAGGACAGAAAAGGAAGGGAAAATACAGTAATATATTTTCATATTACTAAAATATAGCAATAGTGTTCAAAGATATTCAAAACAAGCAGTGCACAACATAGTTGCTCACCACCAGTGACTGGTGCCCAGCCAGTCCCTGAGCAGAGCAGACCCCCAGCCAACACCCTCAGTTTTATCATTCATCACAATGCCACACGGTATGGGACATCCCTTTGGTCAGCGTCCCTCCCAGCTCCATGTGCCCCTGCAGCTTTTTCTGGCAGGGCAGTGTGAGAACCAACAAGTCCTTGACTGAGTGTAAGCACTGCCCAGCAACAACTAAAACATCAGTGTGTTATCGACTTCATTCTCATCCTAAATCCAAAACAAAGCACCATGCCAGCTGCTAGGAAGAAAATTAACTCTATTCCAGCTGAAACCAGAACACCTTCTATTAGCAGTTACAGTGCTCCTGCTGAGAAAGCTGACTGCACTTAGGTAGGTAATATTGATAAATTGTTATTTTAAATAATTGTTTATCTCAGCTAGAGAGGATTGCCTCAATCAGTCACAACTGTAAAAAAATGTCCATAATATGGAAGAAAAAAGGCCTTCAATTTTCAGATATATTCCCCTGTTCCTGCTGTCAAGATGGTTAGTTGCAGTGATAAAATACATGCACTGCTGTATCTAAAAAATGGTCATTGTATGAAGGTAAAAGTTCTCTCTCTGGAGAAAACATGTCTTATGCGTGTACAGACAAAAGGAGGAATTTCAGCCCTCGGGATGAATAGGCATAGTATCACTTGAAGAATACACTCTAGGGATGAATTCTGAGCTTAAAAAACAAACAAACAAACCCACCTTTCAAATATGACTACCTCCAGGGTACTAAACAAAGAAAAAAAGAAAAAAAAAATGGAGTTAAGCTACTTAATTTTGTGTTCCACACTTTTATATCTCTACAGTTGGATAGATTTTGCTTCTGTTAGTCAATATTGTTCCTCACTCCTACCCTTAAATCTCACTACTGTTTACTTTCCAATTTTTTATTAGTTATCTACACTGTTATCAAAGTTGGCAGTACTTCAGAAATGTTCATTTACATGATGTTACATGGACTTATTCTGTAGCAGCTCTTGCTTAAAAAGAAAACTGTTAACACCATTTTTAATGTCAGTGTAGTTGTATAGAGGAGCATGAAATATCAGTCCACTGAGACTGTCCTTTCAGCAATCTGAACAAAACTGAATGCGAATTTGCTCAATGCTCCTAAATTAACTAAACCTAAGATTTGTGAAGCTGTAGTCAAAGGACGAAGCTCTAACGATACATTTCAAGCACACAGGAGATAACAGGATTCCAGCCTCCTGGAGGAATTATAGCTTCTGGCAGAAAACAATGGGGATCAGTGATGGTACAACATGCAAAAGAGCACACCACACCTAGGAGAAAGATAACACAGGTCACCTGAGTCCTGGCACTTTAACAGCTTGTAGTATGTCCAACAATTCCGTACACTGTCAAATCTAAACTCTGCTCTATTTCTATAGCATCTACCTGGTATTGAAGAAATCAGTAAAAAAGTTTACAATGAATCAATAAAAATCCTGGGAAAAAAGTCCTGAAACAACAATAATCAAGTCTGAACATAAAAGGATCAGATTGAAACTGCTCCTTAAGAAGTATGCTTATATAGTAATACTGCTTTTATTTGATTATTTTTCTCATTACTCATTGTACTGTTTAGGTAACATTACCTAGATAGAGAAAATTCTGGCTTGACTTCCTAGCAAAAGCTGATGCAAAAGCAAGAGCACATTCTCTTTGACAGATGGAACAATAAAGCCATGTTCATTGTAGCCCTTAGCTTCATCTATACGCAAACCTGATTGTGTAAGCAGTGTATCTTTTCTGGAAGAATACACTGTACAGGTATCAGTGAGGCCAGCTTATTCTACTGTATCTTGGGTTTTTAAAGTAATAAATAATACAATAATGATTCAAGAGGCAAATTCAGACAATTTTTCTCTGAAAAATTTACCAGTAATTGGCAAACAGTAAGTTTGTCTGTATCTCAGCCAAGTTGTGTAGCAGCTCTGCTTTGAAGAAAAACACTGCAGGCTTGGGTACATGCCTGTTGTAAGCCATTTCTTGATAAAAAGTAAGGAGCTTTGTTTCACAATATGACTAAAGCAGAACAGCACTGGGAAAACTGCCTCAGGAAGTTCACTCACAATATAAATCATAGTCAGACTTTCCATACCTTTCTAGACACAGGAACTCTTAAAATATCAATGTGACTAGAAGCTCAATACTCAGTGGACAAAATACTTAGCAGACCTTCTTCTTAAAACAGATTTGTAAACTACATACACCTGTACCTACTTCGCTTTACACACATGTATTTTATAAAAAAACACATATATAAAAAATCAGAGAAACAGTCTGTTAATGAAATCTCCATACAAATGAAAAGTGACAGATATGCTAATTTTCACTTTTAGTGAGAATGAAACTGTAGAACTTCCAGTAAGAGAAAAAGATCCATAACAACAAAGATGCCTCTGGTTCTTACTCTGGTTCCTGCTCAACTCTTACCCATGCAGGTAGTACAGAGATTTCTCTTGAGCTATTCTTTCTTTGTTACAACTCTGGGCTTGTAAGTAACATGCATAGAACTCTCTGGATCAGTGTAATTATCAGGCAATAAGACATACAAAATTCTTTCCTGTGATGTTAATATATTGCTTATTGCAGTAAAATCATATTCTTGATGGAGTTTTACACAGTGTACTGCACACTATAGACAAACTGTAATAGTGGTATTAACGTTTTTTTCCACTCAGCTTTTTCTTCTGTGTATACTGCAACCTTCTAACAGAGTACCTGAAAAATTAATTTACAGCTAACACCTGTACCATATGCTAAGAGGTAGCATTTTTTTCTACATTTAAAGAAGTGATATCTCCTTATGTTCTTGCTTTACTGGCCTGAGGCAAGGTGATGTCATTAACAGAAGGCTTTGCATGGACTACACTGAATTATAGATCAGGATTTTATACGCAGATTTAAGATCTCAGTACACAAACACTACCTTATCTGCTATCGCTTTTAAGGATTTCAGAAGTGTTATCATTAATATCAGACATTAAGCTCACAATTATATTCTTACTGCAACCTTCACTTAATTTAAATTACATGGTGTGACTCACTGATCATTGACGAAGGAAAAAAGTTCAAACCTTCATTCACACAATAAGGCTTGGGTCCCAGGAAACATGTCTCCCATCGTGCATTCCATTTAGAATTTCAACATCATCTTCTGCTATTGTAAAATCAAACACCTGTGGGAATGCATATATAGTTAACACCATGAACACAGAGATAATCAGTAGCATTTCTATCATTTAAAACAAGACTCATTTAAGTTTGAAGGCAATATGTAAAATTCCAATCTTCTGGAAATTATTTTTATATTTTGTCATAAACAAACATAATTCTCTGTGAGAATGATAGGCTCCACTGGGCTCCTTTACTCTTTTTATGACTCATTTTCATTTGTAGTTGGCTTTCGCAGCACTCTGGCCTCAAGCAAGGGTCCAAGAAAATAGTAGTATCTAAGGTCTCTTCTGCCAAGGAGAGTTATTAGAAGGTATTAGTACTTTTACAAAGCTAGCAAACCAAAGGCTTTATCATGGGTCAATTAATACAGAAGAAGACACAGTTCTACAGTTTTTTTAGTACTGATACGAACTTGAAAGCAACCATCTCTGTCTTCATGTACAGATTCTTACAGCCACAGGCTTCTCCTGTGGTGAGATCTGCAACACACATGATGGTGACAGTATTTTCTTAGCAGATGTATTACTGGGACAATATCACTTCAGAACTGAATTTGCTTTCAGTTGCTCCTTCATACACAATAAAAAGATCCTGCAGAGTATGAACTGCTTCCAAATGAGCTCCCCATATCCTGCATTATCCAGCAATTGCTGCCTGCTCTTTGTAATCAAACTTCAGTCCTCAAGCTTTTCCAACCTAAACCACAGACAAACCACAGAACTATAAATACTACATATCATATGCTGAGGGCTCACTGAGGTCCACCTTCCCCCATTTTGATTAGAAATTGTAGAGACTCAGACCAACACACAGGCACATGGGGTTGGAGAAGACAGATTTGTGATAAATGTCAGATATCTGCAATTCCCTGCCCCCTCTCCTCTATGATTTGAGTTCTGCTGCAATACAATCCCTCAGTTGTATTAAATGAATTGGTGGGGTCATAGAGTCAACTCTGTAAAACACATAATTAATCTGGATTTAAAATACTGCAGGGAAAAAAGAATATAAAAGAGAAAGAAGAAATGTTTGTTTCTTCTCTCTGATTTGGTTCAGAACACAGTGCCACAAACAGCTATGCTTGTACCACAGTCACAGCGTGGATGTCAGAATAAATAGTCAGGGCAGGAACTACATAAATAGACACCAGGAGAAAACCTCACTGCATGAGTGATAATTCACACTTAAAACACATATAGTGAATTTAGTGATAGTCAGAAGGTTGCTGTCTTCTTGCTAAGTTTTTTCCCAATTTGCCAAACAGTTTGTATTTCTAACTTTCAGAAGAACAACGTGTTTATGGTTTTATGTGTTTATGCTTTTATGTGCTTATGATTTTTCCTCCCACCTTTTTCCCCCTTGAGAAAGCTTTCATATTACAGAAATGAGGAGGAAGTTAATTAAAAACATTTAGTATAAAGAGAGAAAAAAAAAGGGAGGGGACAGGAGATACTGCTTATCCTCATTCCTTTCCCACTTCTTTGTGCACCCCCTGCATGCTGGGCCCTTCTCTGCAAGTCAGTGCAAGAAGGTAGGGGAAGAGTCAACTCTGACAGGATTGCAACTTCCTTCAGAAGTATATGGGATATCTCCAAAGAAGTTTTCTAGGTTTCATATCATGTCTTTGTACTGTGCATAGCACACACATTCCTTCATTTTGATCTATGAACCTATCACAGAAAGAACTATAGCCAGTCCACGATTTTCTACAATAAATCAAGTAATAGATAAAAATATTCCTAACAAAAACTCAACTATGAAAGTTGGCAGTTCAGTATTCAGTATCCAGGAAGTCTGCGGATGTCTTTCTTGTACACACTGATCAAATCTACAGTTGATTTCCGACATGCCCTAACTACAGGACAATGGGCAGGTAAACCCAAATTCTAAAAACAATTCAGACGTCAGTTGTTCTTCAATGCGTAACCAAATCTTACCTTGCAATTTTCCTGTATCCTTTCTGCTCTTGTGGACTTTGGAATAGTCACAATTCCATTCTGGAAAACATAATTCTTCTATCACTGAAGTTTACATAATTTCAAATAAAATCTTCTCTCTCCAAATCCTTTCAAGATGTTCGTCATGCCTTCTTAGGTTTTCCTCTTATTTCTCAGAGGACATTGTCATTTCCATAGGCTTTTTGTAACTGCAGTTGTATGCAGTGCATTAACTTCCAACACAGATTATATAGTTTAAATTACTTCAATACATTATTTCACTGCTTAGCACTTTGTTTTGAATAACAGAAATCGAACAATACTCCTTACTGTTTTTAAAATTTAGTTTAAAAACATCTCTTCTATTACCAATTCCTTTCATTCTCTATAATCAGATCATTTTCATATTTAAAGTAGTGCCTTGTTTTGAGTACTACATCTTTCTGTACAGCACAATTAGATCATATGATATCAACATAGTAAGGGCAAAAAAAATTCAGTTATGTTTATTACCACCCTCCATTACCTGTATACTCCAGCGTATGCAAATCTGTGCTGGAGTTCTGCCATATTTCTTTGCCAGCTGAATGATACTAGGATGAGTGAGTGCTTCCCCTTTGGCTAAAGGACAGTAGCCTTCAAAAACAATCTCTCTGCTCCTACAATAGTCCACCAGCTCCTGAGGTCTTTGAAAAGGATGATATTCAACCTTAAATAAACAGAAAAAAGCTTTTAGTAAAAACCTTCTAAGTACATTTAGCAGAAAACCTTGTTATTGATAAATGAAAATATTTTTGCCCTCTTGCTTTAAAAATGCAACATGAGTGAAATCACTTCTAATGGGACATATATGGAAGCAATTAGTTTTAGAAGACGTGAAGGATATTATCCACTCAAAACATTTTTGCCATTAATTGGCACAGTAGTTTGCTATGTATTTTATGTTTACCCTAGAAACAAGGTATTTGGAGCAGTTATCTTCCCTACATGCAGTTGGACCTGTACTCCTATTCTGTTCAGTGTTTGAGAAATACATGCAAACGCATACTGGGAGTCAGGTCATTTTTAAGGGTGATTTGATACTCTTCCCCAAAAAGACTGCCCTAATTACTTCTTGACTAATGATCTTTTTTGAGTTGCACAGGCAAGGAGAGGAGGTGGAGCCTCGTTTTGCAAGACATAAACCAAAAGAATTTGTCCAGGATGAGGGCCTGACCTCTGAAGCAGTGTGTTGGCATAGACTATACAGGGAAAATCCTGTATTCCATGAGCGGTGTCACCAACATATGGAGGAAGGAGTCATGCTGCGGAATGAACTGTGCAGGAGATCCTTGGTAGGAAGGAAGATCACAAATTGCCAAGAACCAGTTAAGAAAAGAAAAGCAACAAGCTACAAGGGCATCAACTGGAAAAAAAAAAGTTATTAGAAAGTAAGAATCTCAAGTCACTTTCTGGGTTTTTAATAAAAGCCAAAACCAAACCTGTGTAATAGCAGTCCCTTACTCCTTTTACTTAAAAAATATACATTGTAAGGAACATACCTTCCTCTGCACTCAGATGAAAATGGGTGGCATTGACTTTTAAATAATAAAATGCATAATCACGTGATGTGGCTTTGGCTCAGCAGCTGTCACCACTGTTCCAGTGATCTAATTCTTGCGCATTTTGAAGAAAAGTACTCTCCTGAACAATTAACTCAACACATGGAATCTGGAAAATTTCTTCTGCCATAAAAGGGACAAATGACCATATCCTGTTTCTCATCTTTAGTACATGTTGTCTTTTCAGACAACAATAGGCAGAACAATAGGCTGGCAGTCATTCAACATACACTAAGAAAAAACTGTGCCCCTGGAAGGCTGGGCTGAGTCAGCCTAACGCTGCTATGATCTAAATTACTAGGTGGACTCAGGAACAAGGTTCAAGCAGCAGACACATCCATGTCTTCAACCTTTGATGTTTCTTGACCTCCGAGTAGCCTTTGTATTTCATGTTTATATTTAAAAGACTGGTGTTTAGGTCATACAGTTGCTCACTTGTTTGCAGCTGAGCTGACTAGAAAATATTCTCATTGTTTATTACGCAAAACTGAGGGGGAAAAAATGAGCAAGCAGTTCCTTTCAAAACACTGATTAACAAAACCCAAAGCAAGCCTAATCTACTAGTCCCTTATGCGACTGAACTGTAAGACTGAGCATCTTAGAGCAACACCAGGTACTCTCCCAGGTAAGTATCATTTTACACTGGTAATTAGATACAGATATCTAATGTGTCTTCAAATGCGTTAACACACCATGACTATTGGGATCTAATAAAAAACTTGTTACGTACTGGCTAGAGGGTGTATTACTCAGTTATTTAAACAGAAACAAGCATTTTTAGAGAGGTTCTTTGCACTCAGTGCAATAAATAGTACAGCCTATAAAATAAATACAAATTTTTACTACAAATAAATGCTGAAAAACCTAAAACATCTCTATAGCACCAGGTGAGTTATTCAGCACTTATTGCTAATACACATGCAGTCAAAATTTAGTCACTTGCCTAATATGGGTTCAAAGCAGCACAGTTCCAGGCTGTACCTTAAGATTTAAAACCATGACAGTACGTTGAGATGTTCCCTGTTTCTCAAGTAGGCTTTACAGCAACAACCATGGGAACATGCATGGGAACATTTTACTTTGTGCCTTTCACTGAAGAGACTTCCAGATTTCACGTACTGAATTTTGTCACACTCAGTTGTGTACTGTTACGAGCAAGTATTTTTCTTCTTAAAAGTGTGACTAAAATAATCAAGTGCATAAAATGAAATAATTATTTCTATTTTGTTTTGTGTTTTTTTATTTTTATTTTGAAACCTTTCTGGAAGATTCTAGCAGCATCTGAATGCAAGGCACCAGCATCCTGAGCCGGAGGAGACATAGGGCGGGGGGCCAGCTTGTGCTTCCCCTCAAAATAATAATTCCTATTTCCTGGCCTGTCCCACCCTTGCTATTTCAGTCACCAAACTTCTCAGGCAAGGGATGCCCATCAAGTAGCTTAGAGAAAGATCTTGATCTATTCTGGCACTCTACCCTGAGTGATTTGTGTGTATAATCCGTCATATTTAATAAAAGAGTTTGCAGTTCACATCACTGAACTCTCCACAGCTGCAATTTGGTCAGCCACCAGGGCACTGCAAAAAAAGTACAGATTTTTATGAAAGTCATGCTGCAATGGGAGAAAAGTTAAGCCTAACAGCAATCCTGATGCAGGGACCTAGCCTCTCAGTAAGGTCCATGTGACAGTACACAACCCTTACTCATTCCACACCGCTGCAGATCTTTTCATGAGGATCTTCTCCTGCATCTGGATTTCAGCCAGCTTCTCAAGCAGAATGCATAGACTAAAAGTTGTTTCTCCTTTAAAAAAGTGAAATTTCAGCCCAGAATTGAGTTTTCTTCATAAAGGAACAGTTCAAGTGAGTTTATATACAAATGCCTGAAAATCATAGCATCAAATCCTAGAACGCATGTCTACCTTGTACAAATTTACATACTATGGCTTAATATCAACAGTGACATTAACAATATTTAAGCGTTTCTGAGGTCATACCACAGCTAACTGAACTTCCATAGAAGTAAAAAAAAAATACTGATGAGTACCGTTACACAGAATTTGGAGAGGATCCATTTAGTTTCAGTGTATTTATTGCATTAAATGTACACATAAATCATATATTTTTAAAGGCACAAGAGCCTTTGGAGATAAAGCATTTTCCTTGAACATAAATACAATCTTAGCACAGCCAAGTCAACTACAAATCCTGGGATACAAACCTGTAACTTGTTTCATTCTACACTGTTAGAATGAAATACTTAGCATAGAACATTTGACAGTATTTTTTAGTAGTAGGCTGCAAATTTAAAAGCTGCAAATTTAAAAGCTGCTTGCTCACTACTATATCAGAAAGTATTTATTCTTGAAAAGGCTGGTCTTTCCTACTTTGGTAAAGAACATCGTGATAGTGTGTTGTTTGTTTTTTTTTTTCAGGAATCAAGAAGCAGCACTGCTTACAACTCAATTGTATAACAGAAACATTGCTTAATTACACATTTTAATTTGTAGTGATTTCATGGACACCAAAAAGCTACTCTTATTTAACACAATAACAATGTCTGCTGAGCTCCAGAGTAAGGTTTGAAGAGGTATATTTCTGAAAAGATGACACAACTAGACCTTGGCAAATTTACCCATTCTTAAACAGGCACAGCCTGGTTTATTTTGAGTAACTGAACTTAAGTACTTTCCTTCTTTTTAAGTACATCTTATATTACTCAAAATTGTCCTTTAGTAGCCTTCTGTCTAGTGATCAACGAGAAGTAGAGATGTTATGCTCTGTCACACTCTGAGCAATCTTTTTATGCCTGTTTCTAACTTCACACAATAAAAACCTGCCAAAAAAACCTCAACACCTGCTAAAAAGGAAAAAGCATGTGTCTGTACCTCAGCCATTCCAGTTCCCAGTTCTATGTTAGCAGAAGTGCACTTTCACTAGCAGCAAGCAGTAGGAATTGGAGCAGCTGTCAGTGTCCTGGAAGTCTGCTCGTATGTAGGTGACAATTCAGGGCATCTCCTCATAAAAGAGCAAGTACCAACACACTTGCATGGATATAGGATCACCTCAGTGTTGCTTTGAGAAATTATACTTAGTAATCAAGCACAGGATCTCCAAAACCTTGTTTACTCTGGAGACACTAAATGTTTAGTGCTACTTGAATTGTTTTTTCCTCAACTGCTTTATCATCAAAAACTGATGCACTGACCGCTTGTTTGGGCCTTAAAACCAGTCACTGACAAGTAGCTGGGAGAACACGGGGGAATGAAAGGATGAAGAGGATGAATTTTTTTCCCCAGTTCAAATCACCTTCCTGAGTGGCTTCCAATGCATGTATAGAAATGAAAGAGAGGAAATTGCAGGAGTAAGGCTAGTTATGTTTAGTCTTCCAGGCACCAGGATGGGGAGGAGTGGGTTATTAACCCCAAACCATAACTAGATTCTTAAATCTATTTCTTTCTCCACTCACCTGATTAACATGTGGGGTAACCACACAGTCTTCCTGTAGTTGCTCAAGATGACTGATAAGAAAGTTGCTTACGCCAATTGATCTACACACACCTAACAACAGGAAAAAAAAGTTTTGGGATGATTCTGCTTGGGAGGATTGCTTGAAAAATATCACTTTCAAAAGACAAAACTATTTGTACAAATCATTTCTGTACAGCAAAACACTGCAACGTAACACAGAGAAACACCACCAAAATGTACTTTGACAGCATTATCTGAAAGCATGGTTCTGTCAGTCACACTAGGAAATCATTTTATAATCTAAACACACTGGAAACTCCCCAGTGTATAAAAACTGTGGGCTAAATTCTGGGAAAGGCTCCTGCAGTATAAGCAAAGAACAATTGGATCTCACCAGAATGAAAAGAAGGAAATGGTGTTCTGAACAGCCTGCCAAAACTAAAGAAAAGTGGAACATTTTGCAGAAGACTAATAAGGTGTGAGCAACAAAACACAAGGACACACAGTTCAAATGAACTACATAACCCTGCTTTTATGTCTACTAGCTTATTACTGGAATGTTACATAAAACTCAGAATAAAAACTTGAAGTAGTATCTAACAAGAACCGAAAAGTTGAGTGTAGGAAGCAGAACGTGCGTTAGAACAGCCGGTTTTCTCAACCTGACATGCCAATCAAAATAAAACGGCACATGAGTGTTATAAAGGCTTTTTCTCTTTTTTAGAAAAAAACCTTAAATGTACATGCGTGTGAATTAATTAAGAGCTGACAGTTCTGAAGTCAGACATCTTCCTTCAAACCCCAGGTATGATGAAGTACAACTCAGTACAGGCCTGCTACCACACTTCAAACCTGACTACTCATTGACATGTTGGTCCTCTTCTGCACTGAACACAGCTCATAGGTAAACCACAAGCAGCCGGGCTAGCGGCGGTTTCCTTAAGCTGCAGATTCTGCAGACTATTAATCAGACTCAAATCCTTAGTAAATGAACTTACTGACTGCATTCACATTTCAATCTGTAACTCTGCAGACGGAAAGTCTGCCTCAAGTTGTGTGCACACAGGAGTCCAATCCAATACTGCTCCGAGCTGATTCTGTATAATTCTGCTTGATCCAGAATGAAGTTAATGAAAACACCGGAGGAAAATATATAACTATTCCTAAACGTCAGTTAGTAAACCATTCAGAAAATGTGTATATGTTTTATGTATTAAAAAATAACACATTAGTTATTGGTGAGTTGTTGGCATTTTTAAAAATCAAAAGGTTAGATTTACTAAAGTAAAATAAATAATTTTTTTCTAGACTTATCCTACGAAATTATGCAAGTAAAGCAATTACAGTACGTAAAGTTATAGGTAAAGTTACAGTTTACTGCTAATTATAAAAAACACACTGTTAAAACCCTTAAAAATAAAATTCACACTACCACATATGAATATAGATAATTTGACTATTCTGCTTTCATATATTTTAGCAGTGAAAGTAGACAGACTGCATAGCAGCAGTACCTGCACACATACCATTGCTTTTTAAATGTGTTTTCCTTGTATGTGTAGAATACAAAAAGGAGAAAACAATGTGTAGAATACGAAAGGGAGAAAAAATACATGAGCAACTAAATACTAGGCAGCTATCACTTGCAGAAATGAACACTGTTCAAGATGCATAAAATAATTAAGTTATAATCTGCATTACAGCAACTTATATAATCTGTATGTAATCTGCCAGAAGGAGAAAACCCAAGCTTTTGATTTCTACTGTCAAATTACCCTGCAGTGTCAACATTAATAAATCATTTTGACAGAAAAGTGAGAAAAACATTTACATTTTTACCACAATGGTGAACTAAAATATTATACACTGTTGTTGAAAGCTAAGGAGTTAAAAAAGCATGCTGTTAATTTGCCCTTAAGAATAAAGCTTTTATTTCAGGCAGAATTAAAACAAAAAATTGCTTAGGTAAAAGATGAAAGCTTTTATTAAACTTGTCCATTCCCACAAAAAAAAAAAAAAAAACCATTGCTTTCTTTTTCTTCCAGTATTTTTTAAGACGTTTTGCTTCCAGCTGACTCCAAGTCTAAAACCGATATTAAGACACTCCTGCCTTTAGTTGCAAAGGCTAAATTCCAAACTACCAAGAAAAATGAATATTTTCCCATGGAATAGAAAAATAATGACTAGAATTTTCACGTTTTTGTGAAAACAGCACTTTACCACCTTTTTAACGGGATAACGATTGAACCATTTCACATTTATTAAATCTAGGTATTTTGTTTTGGTAAAATTAGAACCCTTCATTTCAACTTCATTGCTTCGGTATTGGTTACAGTCTTATACACAAAAATTGAAGTGCTTTAGCTGTGATATTAAATTACAAAATGAAATGCAATAAACATGAAAACTATTAAAGTCCGACTGTATTAAAACTGATTCTATGATTCTATGAAGAACCTTATTTCAGTGCACGCTGGAAGCATGAATTTGAAACAATGAAATCTCCTGAGAAATGGAAAGTCCAGATTTCAACCAACAAGTAATAGATTTTACTTCAAAGAATTGTTTCCATCCACCTGAATGAATACTACCACTTTTGCCCTAAATTGTCCAAATCTGGGAAAATCTGCTTCAGAGAACGAGATTATAGAGAATTATTTCCACACTGGCACTTGCTGGATTAATTATTATGAATGGGGATGGGTTGACGGTTGGACTAGATGATCTTAGTGGTCTTTTCCAACCTTAATTATTCTATTACTTTATGATTCTAATGAAGAACTAGAAAACGATGGGCACAAAAATGAAGATCTAAACCCATCACTTGTGACGATGTATAACAAACAAGATTCATGAAATGATTACATCAGCATTATAACAACAAAAAAATAATACATTCTGAGAAACTCAGTTGTATGTAATAGTTCTTTCAGTATCTCAAAATATTTAAGAACAGCTAACAGATTTCCTTGCATGTAATTACTGTGCTTTGCTCAGCCACCACAAAAATGCTAAGGTTTGGAAGAAGCAGCTGAAGATTGCTCTCACTAAGCCTTTAAGATGTAGAGATTTTTATGAGTACGCTACAAAATTTGTAGAGTACAATTTGTATTAGGTGCTCCTTTGCGTGAACAAGAACAGGTGAAAAAATAAGGTTAGTTTACTAGAGAATTAAGTGTAAATGCACACGTGCATACATGAAAATACATGAAAACAGTTTGTGTCACAGGTCTCAAAAGCACCAGAACGCTCCTGAAATGGGGAAAAATAAGTACATCTTCTAAGCAGGCATTGTGTTGAAATACCATTTCGGTTAGCAGATTGTTTGGAAGTCAACTTGTTCAATTCTTCTGGGTTAAGTTCAACTCTTCTGGGTTAAAAGCTTAGAACGCACTAGCTGCAATCCTCTCTACAAAGTACCTTTCTAAAAGATATACTGCCTTATTTCAAAAGTGATAGAGCTTTGATTCAGGGAGAGAAAGTATCCTCCTCACCTGCTTTTGGGGAAATGAATGGTTTAGCCCATAGGAAGAAGATTTTGACAAACTGTGAGGTGCAATAAGCAACAAGTTTGCAAATCCCCGTTAGCTTGTAAAGCTCAGTGAGGCTTTGCCCTGCTCTGTGACTCTGCACAGACTTCAAGGCAATGACGATGGTTCTACAACTGCTAAAAACTGACTGACCAATGCACAACAGAAGAGAAATTTTCAGCCAGTTTGCAGAATTACCATGAGACTCTGAAAGACACGTTAGAAAACATATCGGAAGGAAAAGAAGTAATATCTTTTCCATCGTGCACATAATAAACTTGGCCTCCACCATACAGGTAATTTTAGCACAGTGTTACTCCTAGTCTTTCTATTAGAGTGGTTCACAAGTAGTTGTGTTAAGCATAAAGCATTTTCAAAGGCAACCTAGAAAGTGACTGGATATTTTTTCTTTTACTTAGTGTAACATCAGCTTAGGCAGAGTTCTATGGACACTGCTGCTGGAGCACAGCAAGTTCCACACTGATACACAAAGGAACTTCTTCACAGTGAGGGTGATGGAGCACTGGAACAGGCTGCTCAGAAAGGTTGTGGACTCTCCTTCTCTAGAGACATTCAAGACACTCCTGGATGCTTTCCTGTATAGCCTTTGCAAGGGGGCTGGACTCGATGATGTCTAAAGGTCCCTTCCAGCCCCTATGATTCTGTGATTCTGCTAGCCTTGCAGCAGTGATGTATAAACACACAGTCTTGGCATCACAACACTGTTTTAATGCAATAGTTAGCCCTATCTTTCCCAAGAACATTTATCAAACCTCTAAATACTCTCTGTAACATTAGCTGTACAAAATTGAGGTCAAAAAGGTTCTTTAAACAACAAAATTGGATACTGGATCTGCAGAGCCAATTTCTTCCCCCTCCCTGCTCCCTACTTCAGTCAGGGCAAGGGAGAGTTCCCACAGCACGAACAGTGCCCGTTCTGTTACACGTCCTGTTCAGGCCACAGAATAAAAGCACAAAGATCCACTTTTCACAAGAGGTCAACTGTAGCAACTGTATCTTTATTACAGGAGGTTACACAGGTTGGAAAAGCCCACAGTCCCTGTGATATACAGCCCACAGTCTCTGTGATATACAGGTTAAGAATTCCTCCGTAGGCAAATACCTTTCCTTACAGAAACCATAAAGCACAGATTTCAGCACAGCTTGCTAAAGCAATGCTGCAGGCTGTGTGTCCCACAAGCAGGATGCAAGCCAAAGCCTTCACAAACAACGTAGGTGAGTTTTAAACAGATCCACTCAGAACTGAGTTCTAAATCTATGATACAAGCCTTGCTCCCATTTCACAGATAGACACCAAAGGCTGGCCTAATTACATACAGGAAGATTGTGGCAAAAGTGATGAGAAGACCCATTTCCTATCCATCACAACAGTACAGGAGCATTACCAGCCTTGAAGCAACTTGCCTGCTACTAGAACTCCATCCTGCAGATCAACTCTGAATCATGATAAATTGAGAGGAAACAAACAAAACTCAAATTCCAGTTCCTGTGACTGAAAAATAATTATGAACGTTTTGTTTACACAACCGTTCAGTAGTT